TTTGCCATTCCTTTTGTATCCCCATCTGCCTCCTGCTTCACCAATTGTTTCATGTCTTCTTCATTTTCCAGAAATGTGAAATGCACTGCAAATAACATCCATCATGACCCAATATTATCTTAAGCCAGCATCTTAATAGAATACACAGCAGGGTTTTTTTTAATTTTTTTTATAAGAAAATAGGAGCTACATTGCAACATTATGTACAACATCAGAAGGAAGTTGCAGGTTTTCTTAAATTCTTTTTTGTATGCTGAAGTGGCAGGAGCAGCAGCTGACAAAGTGGGCTGCTTCACGTACCCTCTAAGCCCCGCCTTGTCCTGTTCTTCCACAGCCAAATTAGCTACCAAACTAACTTTTAACCAAGGCTTTTCATCAAGTAATAATGGTCAAAGAATTAAAGTCAGATTGACAGTTGCTGACCTCTTTATTCATAAATAAATCCTAATTATTCTAGGGTTACAGCTCATTTATATAAAATCATCGTTCTGTACTAAACAGGGCATTTACAACTAGAACAATATTTTTCTGATTGTATGGAAAATGAAATTAATCATAAGTTTAGAAGAAGAGAAGTGGATAATGGAGATGACAGTTATAGACCTACCAAAAAACATTCACTATTAGGCAGTGAAAACAATAAATATTATTTTTTCTCAACAGTTTTCTGTAACAAGATGCTTCCTTCAGGTTTCCCAAAATAAATCAACAAGTTATTTGGACCAGTGTATTTCACTTTATGTTCAATGAAACATTCCTTTAAAATATTCAGTGGAAACCACCTAAAATCCCATCAGTCAATATGAGGATGTTAGTTTGTATTCTCAGAAACAAAACCAATGGAGGGAACACCAAATCCATTTTCCTGCCACTTCCTCCAATTCTCTGCTGGGAGATAACATTAAAACTGGTCTTAAAACTACTTTTCTGTCCTTCTTTTTCTGCCACAGAAGTCTCAAAACTTGCCATTTTTAAGAGGTACAGGCAAAGTTCTGCTGAACCCTCTCCCATAATATCCCTTTAACCCTCTACAGATTAATTTGCCTCCGCAAACTATTCTGAAGCCACTCTAGTTCGTGCTACATACCAAACTACTGTCAGCAGCCTAAGAAGAACTCTCATTTTTCACATTTTCATTTTTGATAGAATATAGCTGAGCTTAAAATCAAGTTCTCTATGGAATCTAATGAGAAGCTTTTGATTAAACAAATACTCTGTTTAAAAATTAATGCTTTTCAATAAATAACCATCCTATTGAATACTTCTAATAGGAACTTTCAAATGAGAAAAATGTTTTCATTTGTAAATTTAGTTTTTTTCTGTATAGCATTCAACTGTCAGCAAGCCCATTCATCACAGAAATTCAAGTTATCATCTATAAATGCTACAAACATTACTATTTTTCTTCATTTCCATCCAAGTTTTGCACAAGGGTTAAAAGAATTTTTTCCAGCTCGGGTAGAAGCTTTTTCTGTTTTGTTTTCTTCATATAGTCTAGATAGCTAGTAATTGTTGACATTTGCAATTTAATTTGATGTATTCAAGGAGAAATGCAGTCAAATCTTCTGTCTCCTGGGTTTGTTACACAGTTTATTCCTTACAAATGGCTTGTCTTCATCTGCATGATGACCAACATATTCCCATTTAACTTTAAATTTATAGGCAGAAAATTGTTATATTTGTCTGTCTGTCATCATGTCACCTTCTTTTTCTTTTTGGTATTACTATTGCCTGAAAACTTGCATGACACTTCTGCTAACTTAAAGTCCAAAGTGTAATCAACCCAGCTGAGGCTGGATCTGTCATCTAGCCCATAGCAAAGGACATAGTTAAGGTCCCTTTCTGATCTTACTTTTAATGAGTATTAATGGCTGCACACACACTGCTCACTCCCCGGTAAACAAGAGGCTATAATTTCATATCCACTGGCTGGGGTGTAATTAACAACAGAAAGCAAGGCCCAGTGTGGTATCAGAAAAAGCCTGAAGTGAGCAGTGTGCTCTTTCAGGCACTTCCATTCAGTGCCCCAAGCAGCTCCAACCACCAACTAAATTATTACAAAAGTCCCCAAAGCACGTTCAGAAGACATGAGCATCTAAATCTGATTGACAACGACTTCTTTTGCACTGAAGCTTTCATAAATTTTTTCCCTAATGGTCATTTTTGAGGTTTCTTCATTGTTTTTCAGAGGAATATCTCTGCTGTCTATACATGAGTTTTCCATGTGTACTTACAAAAACCCATAAATTTTCATTCTAATAGCAGACCTATAATTTGCTTACTACATTTTCAGTGAAGCCTCATGGCTTTCTGAAAGAACCAGGACTTTGGGACTGCATTGGACAGACTGAAAGCTTTGTTTTAGACATCAAAACAGTAAGAAAATGTGAGCCATCATGAGTGAAAAATTGGATTTTCCTACTTGGAAAATTCTTCCAAAATTAACTTCAGTGTTGTTTCCATGTCTCCTATGAAATGCATAAGGAAAATCCATGACCTTCCTTTGCCTGAAATTCATTTGAAAAATCTAAAAGTCCACCCCGCTTATCCACATTCAGCATAAAACCCATAAGATCAAACAATTAGAATGGAATGTCAAATGCATGTGTTTGCTAAATGAATATAAATGTAACCTGATTGTCTCCTCCTTCCTGTTTGGATCTTGACTGTGTAAATAGTGCTTCGATCAGGGCATGAAATGTGCCAATTTCATCCTGCCTTTAGTGAAATCATCACAATCCTACCAACTTAAACAGTAAGAAAAGGTGCATTATTTATTGTTTCCTTACTTCGTGTTTTACTCTTTCAGTGTGACACTACTAACAGTACAATTGTGTGTTATCTCACACAAACCCGACTGCTAAAGACTAAAGGACTTGTGCACTTATAATTGCCTTAAAGGCATTTTTATTTCATGCTTATAAAAGATTACCTTGCCTTTGAAACTTCACTATACAAGGTTATTTATTTACAGTGTAATTTAAAATTAAATTATATTTGCATATGAAAATGCAGTATGGGTGAGGGTTAAAAAACTGGCAAGTAAATCCTAGTGCATTCAGAGGTGGAAATTATTATCCATTTATCCATAATGATTAACAGTTAAAATGCACTCTGCTGTTCCCTGTGTCTCAGGAAGAACAGAAGCTTTTGTTTTCCTGAAATAAAAGCCACATCTTTTTTTACAGTAATGCCTTAAAGGGGGGG